ACCGTCCCCCTGGTCCTCAGACTTCAGCCTGCCTGAGCCAGTCAATGGAAATCTGCTGCTTTCTTGTTCTGGGAGCAGCTTGGCCCCTTTTGAGATGAGGAGAACGGCAGGATTAAGTAGCAGCTTGAGAGAAAATAGGCAGGCAGCCACAGCTTTAGGGAGAAGAGGGGAGTAAATCAGGCTGTCAATAAATTGAGAAGCTGCACTGCTGTGAGCCTTGAGCTAAGGAGGGAAGATGGGGTGAACTGGATGAGAAGGTGAAGCTGAGACAGCCAAGGAGTTGACAGAGCTGACCCTAAACTTCATTATATTCTTCTTTTATTATTATTTTTTCCTTCTAGTACCGGGGACTGAACTCAAGATCTTGCACTTGTGAGGCAGGCATGGTGCCGCTGAGCTAAATCCCTGGCTATACTTTTTATGCATTTCCCTAACAGAGCTCTGCCCAGAGTGGGGCAAAACACATTGCTAAGTATCTTTCTAAACCCTGATCCTTTTTGAGATTAAAAAAAAAAAACGTGAATAATCAATGATTTTATTTGGAAAACCTTTTGCAAGGGTGCTCTTCTGTCTGTGCAGGAACTCCATCCCTTACCCTGTGGGACAGTGGCTTTGTTTTCTGTAATAAACTCCTCAATTAATGCTGCTCCCTGTAAATTCCCCATGTTTCCTGGTTTGGAATCACATCACTGAAGCAAGAGCCACAGGAGCAGTGATGCTTTCTCAGCCAGTGCTGACCCCCTGGAGCTTGTGTGTGTTTGCAGTAACTGACTGGGTCTCATTTCTAGCATGTCTGTGGTGCAGTGTCAAGTCCACTCATGTGCAGCGTCCAGACGGGAGATGCACAGGGACAGGACAACGTGGGCTGGAGTGCAGAGGCAGGGGCAGGGATTGCGGTGATGATAAAAGGTTCTATGTTTAAAATGGGTTGGTGACTGCTCGAGCCTGTAAATACATCAGAAAGTATTGAATTGTGCACTAGGTGGGGGGCATGCTAGGTGCATAGATTGTATTTCGGGAAAGTGGTTTGAAAGTGAAGACCTGGTTCTGGGGATACAGCTCAGGGAAGAGCCCTTTCCCAGCCAAAAGGGGCTTTGGGTTTCATCCCCAGAACACACACAAAGTCTATCTCAGCAGGTTTCCCTTAACCCATTCTCTCCTTTGCCCTTCTTGGAGAGCAGATGGACCCTTCTTGTCCTTTCAGCCCCTGGACTCTTTTGATCTCCTTGTGTCTGACCCAGGACTGTGGGGGCCACCCAGACCTCCTCCTAGGGGGAGCCCTGGGACCCAGCAGGTCCCTTCCCTGCCTGTGGAGTGTAGGAATCCCTGACGGCAGGGTGCAGGTGCTCACTTCCTGTTCACCCAGCAGACACCCACAGGCTTCTGTTTTCTTTGGGGCTCCGCCCAAACCAAACAGTATGGATGGACATTGCAGAGCAACAGGCTTTGGCAAAAAGCCCTGGCGGGCCTCTCCTGGTCAGCCCGCTGGGCTCAAAGCCTCCGTGGACCTCCTCCCAGGCGACTCTCAGGAGGGGCCCTGCTTCCGGCCCTTACTCTGGACAGACTGAATTTTTGTAAAGAATATTTTTCATTGAGATTTCATTTTTACATAGTAAAGTGTGCAGCTCTTAAGTGTCCTGGTTAAATCATGCTTGCAAATACACAGACCTAAAATTGTTTTAAAAGAGCTGAGCCTGATGGTGCACACCTGTGACCTCAGTCTCTAGGAGCCTGAAGCAGGAGAATCCTTGCAAGTTCAAGGCCAGCCTTCCCTACAAGCAGGACTCTGTCTCAAAGAAAAAAAAAAAAAATGCGTTCTTGGAGGTGTCCTTTAACATAGGTGATCTAAGGTGTTTTGCCTAAAACATCTTCGATCCCTTTGACTGTTTCTTCATTTTAAGGTCAGGTTGCTGCCCTTTTATTTTTGAGACAGGGTCTCACTATATAGTTTGGGCTGGCCTTGAACTCACTATGTAGCCCAGGATGGCCTGCAACTTGCAATGACCCTCCTGCCTCAGCCTGCCAAGTGCTGGGATCACAGGCGTGTGCCACCAGGCCTGGCCAGAGCATTGTTTTCTGTTGGGCATTTCCTTTGGGGTAGAACTGTGGGGTCACAGTGGGATGTCTGTTCAGTTTTTGTGAATACTGCATTCTCAAGCTTATACCAGTTCGTAAGGACTCAGTTGATGTAGAAACTAAAGAGGTGGAGGTGTACACAGGGTCACCCCCCACCCTGTGATGTTGGCATTCCAGAGATGCCCCAGCAACTCCAGCAGATATCTGGTCACATCTGACAGTACTGGGTTGGACTCTACAGTGTTTGCTGTAGGATTTGGATTTGAAAGGTAAGGATCTATAATCTCATTACTCAGGAGTCTGAGGCAGGAGGATCACCATGAGTTCAAGGCCCGCCTGGGCTACATACTTCAAGGCCTTAGTGAGGCCCTGTCTCAAAAAAACAAGAAAAGAGCAGGGCATGGTGGCACATGCCAGTAATCCCAGCACTTGGGAGGCTGAGGCAGGAGGATCACTGTGAGTTCGAGACCAGCCTGGGCTACATAGTGAGTTCCAGGTCAGTCTCAACTACATAGTGAGAACCTGTCTCAAAAAAACCAAAAAACAAAACAAAAACCAAGAAAAGAAAAGAAAAAAAAAAAAAGGTATTGAGAAGGCAAACTAATAAGAAAACTTCAAGGCTATAAATCTGGAGACAGGCTTTCTTCGCCCCCCTTTTGTACTAAGATTTGAACTCAAAGCCTTCACACTGAGCTTCATTCCCAGCCTCTTTTAAAATTTTTTTAAAATTTTGAGACAGGGTCTTGCTAAATCTTTTGCCAGGCTGGGCTTGAACTCATCCTTTTGCAGCCACAGAAAGTGCTGGGATTACAGGTGTCCACCATCAACCTCGGTTTAAAGTGCACTATGAGAGAACTGCTGACCACTCTGACTCAGGCTGAGTGGGGAGACCAGGGGTGGCAGCAAAACAGCCAAGTGGAGCTGGGGGCCTGAGCAAGTTCTGGGGTGTGAACACTGAGTCTAGAGGAACCCAGTAGGGCCAAGCTCCTTGTTGGCGATGCCTGTAGATCTCTTCATGAGACTGGAGTCTGCCATAGTCTCCATTCTTTTATTTGCCTTTTGAGGCAGGGTCTCATGCAGTTCAGGCTGGCCATGAACTCACTATGTCCCATTGGCTGACCTCGAACTTCCAGTGATACTCTTGCTTCCTGAGTGCTGGGATTTAGTTCTTCACTGTAAAGTACCGAATAAGGTAGCATGTGGGGTGATTCGTAGGGCTTTCATTCAAACCCTACATTAATCCAATTGCATCTCTTGCCTGAAAGTTCCAGCTTTCCCAGAATCTGTTTGTTGTCCTTTTGTAGAGAAGAGCTTCCCTCCTTCTTCCCCACCCCCACAGAGCATTCAAACCCCCTGGGCGCTGAATAATCAGTGTCACTAGGACTGTGTTGACAAGCCCTGGGGAGGGAGGGCCTGGATGTCCTTCTAGCTGGTGCTCTACCCTGCTAACCTCTCCAGGACAACACTTGGCATTTACCTCCCACTTCTGAAAGGCCTGGCCTGTGTTCTGCTGTGAGCACGGATGGACCAGCACCGAGAGCTGCCACTGTGGCACTGCCGGGATCCTGGAGTGTGAGCCCTCCTACCCTGGTAGTACCCCTGGCTGGTGGTCCACAGTCACATGTCACCAATGCTTATGAAGCCCCACGACCCAAGGGACACTAGGGTCCTCAAGAAGCATAAGCAGACTAGACCCAAAGCTCCTGTCTCTCACACCCAGCTCCCCCAGCTTCTGCATCTATTCCACACACAGGAGGCGATACCCCCTCTGCCCCCTAGATAGGGGACCAGCTGCAAGGAGGGTCTTCAATGCCTGTCCCAAAGATCGTCCGCAACAATTTCTAGCACAGAATAGCTCACTGTACAGCAACTGAATCTGAGCCAACATCCAGTATCCACACACTTGTCTATTTTTTGCTGGCTAGAAACTGAACCCAGGGCTCATCCTTCTTAAACAAACTTTAAAAGATGGTTTTTCAAAACGGTTGCAGTAGCACATACCTAGTTACTTGGGAGGCAGGGACAGACGACTGCAAATTCTGTCCAGCCAGACAAGTTAGTGAGATTATGTCTCAAAATTAAAAAAAACAGGTGGGGTATGGCGGCACATATCTGTAATCCCAGCACTCCAGAGCCTGAGGCAGGAAAATGCCAGGCTGGGCTACATAGTGAATTCAAGGCCAGCCTGAATTGTATAAATAAATACATAAATCAATAAATAATAGTCTGGAACTCCAGGTTTGGTGGCGCACACCTATAATCCCAGCACTCGGGAGGCTGAGGCAGGAGGATTGCTGAGTTTGAGACCAGCCTGGGCTACATAGTGAGTTCCAAGGCAGTCTCAACTACATAGTGAGACCCTGTCTCAAACCCCCCACAAAAAATAAATAACAATAATAGGCTGGAAACGTAGCTTAGTGATAGAGCACTCCATGTTTGACCCCTAATACTAGAAAAGATGTCTTCACAAAAGAGGAGCATTTATGAAAGAACTTGTCAGTGTATGTCTTGGATCAGATGGTCTCCTGGTGTTCCCTGGACGCCAAATTGAGGTGGCCTGGCCAGGTCACAGTTGAGGTCCCAGGTGGTAGAACTGGGAGGAGCAAATCGCCTTCGGAGGTCCCGGCGGGGCTGATAGGCCCGCCCCCTCCAGGAGGCCCCGCCCACGTGTCCGGAGGGCCCGCCCTTCTCAGATACCCCGCCCACGGAGCGCGAGCCCCTCCGCC